TTTATCACCGCAACCCGACCCCACTCCACCCGCTCCACCCCACTAATTCTTTACCTTCAAATTCATAGAAGAGTGATCCTTTGACGATTTTTCTTTCCATACTACCGTCTTATTCTCATTTTTCTCTTTCAAACCCAATTTTAATTGAAGTCGTAGGCCGATTTTGAACCGAAAACGTCGACGCATATCAAAGATATTTTCAATTCAAAATCGGCCTACGACTTCAATTAAAATTGAGTTTGAAAGAGAACAAGCAGGCCCGCCCATCCTCCAAACGGAGTTGCCAGCTCCCCTTCGCTGCGCCGGCAACTCCGTTAGGCAGGGGCCGGGCCTGCTTGGCCTGCCGGTGGCGATGGTCGGGCCTTTTGCCTTCGGCCCGACCATTTCAGTCTCGCGATTTACTGAAGTGCATCATCAGATAAATAATGTGACCGGTAAATAACTTTGCATATTTGTGTAGAAATAAACCGTCCTGTGGGGGGCCTGCGGCCCTAGAAATTTGCTCCTTTGACATGACAAAAGACTGTAACGGGGCAACACCGTGACTACATGCCACCCTTCTGCTTTGCTTTCAAAAAATTAACCCTCGCAGTTTCTAGATTGTATATAGTCAAACAGTCTTAAAACTTGACTATTTGCCATTGTTTTCAATATATCCACCTCTAAGGCCAAAACAGTGAAAGATACGGCAAATCCGAGGGTAGTTCCTGATTCAAAATGTGTTGTTTTGGGGGGGTACTCCCTTTGACATTTTACGATTGCACGCCTCCTTGTACGACTTTGTGTGCAACGTGATCATTTTCGCCGTATTTTCGTCGAAAAAAGCACTCTAGCGCCCAAACGGTGCAAGATAGAGTCAATCAAAGAAGAAACAAGAAAGAAGAGAAGTAGAATTAGTCGGGAAGAAATCTCAAGTTAAATTATGTCATGATCGGTTTGGTCACCTGAAGGGCTTACCCAATGCATGCCAAGTCAAAGGAATAAAAATAGAAGATTGTAGACTCTGTGCTCAAGGAAAGGCAAAGAAGAAGCCATTTCCAGCCAAAACAAGTGTGAAGACTGAGAGAGAAACCAAAGAAGTTCTGCAAATAGTACATAGTGATGTGTGCTCTATGAAGCAAGCAGCCCCAGATGGAAGTAAATATTTCATAACTTTCCATGATGACTACTCAAGGTTCAGTGAAGTTAAGATTTTAAAGAAGTCGGAATCTTTTGAGAGTTGTAAGAAATACATGGCAAAAGGAGAAAGGTTTCATGACAGGAAACTTAGATGTCTCCAATTAGACAATGGCGGAGAATATATTTCAAAAGAGTTTGAAGAATATCTGGAAGAAAATGGAGTGGAGAGAAGATTATCGTGCCCTTACAATCCGCAACAAAATGGGAAGGCGGAAAGGCTCAACCAAACACTCCTTCAGACAGCAAGATGTATGATGATACATGCTTGGCTTCCAAACATGTTTTGGCCAGCCGCTGTAATTCATGCAAATTATTTGAGAAACAGAACGGTGTAAAGAGTAATACAGAAGAAAACCCCATTTGAAATATGGCATGAAAGAAGAGTAGAAACAGAAGATCTGAAACGAGTAAAAGTTTTGGGATGTGAAGTATGGATTAGAGACAATGATGCTGAGAAGACAAAATTAAATCCAAGAGCCACAAGAGGTTTGTACATGTGTGTACAATCAGGAAGAAAAGGTGTGAAAGCGTGGGACCTGCAAGAAAGAAAAGTTAAAGTTGCATTGCATATAGACTTTTGTGAAGAAAAATTTCCTATGAAGCCAGCAATTTTTCCTCCCCGTCCTCCAGCTGGAAAAGATGGAATCACTGCAAATATTTTGGCTCTAGAAGGTGAAAGTAAGTCACAAGAAGAAGAAAAAGAAAAAGGAGGGGGCGACCTTAAAGGAACACATGGTGAAGAAGAGGAGAGTGAAGAAGAACATCACAATACTGAAGATGAAGAGTCTGAAGAAGAACCTTAAATTCAAAATCAAATTCCAAATCAAGAAAATCCCAACCAAGACATTCTTCATCAAGACATTCCCGAACAAGACAACCCAAATGATGACAACGAACCAAAAAAGTCAGCCAGACTACCCAAGCCAAAGAAAGTGTGTAGCTGTTGTTTTTCAGCAAATGTCACACCCTATTTGGATTATCCAGATCCGACATCTGTCCAACAGGCAATGAAATGCCCTGATGCAGCAAGATGGAGAGATGCTATGGATGATGAAATATCCAAACTACTGGACATGGACACTCGGACAGTAGTGCCACGCCCACTCAAGAAAAATATAGTGGATGGTAAATAGGTGTTCACGAGAAAGATAAATGAATATGGAGAAGTAGTGACATTCAAGGCTCGATAGGTAGCAAGAGGCTTCTCATTAATTCCTGGTGTCGATTTTCAAGACACTTATGCTCCTGTAATAAGAAAATCAAGCATCAGAATGTTACTTTCTCTTGCTGTAGGTAAAGGTTGGAGTGCTGATCAAATTGATGTGAAGTCTGCATACATTAATAGCAAAATAGAAGATACAGTATACATGGAACAACCCCATGGTGCTGAAGTGTCTGACCCCGCTGAATATGTCTGCAAACTCACCAAGAGTATCTACGGGTTACCCCAAAGTGCCCACAACTGGTACGAAGAATTGAGCTCAAAATTAGTTGAGAAAATCAAACTGAAACAATCTCTACATGACCAGTGTATCTATTACCGTGAAAATTTAATTATTGGATTTCATGTGGGTGATTTTCTACTCAATGGAACAAAAACTGAAGTGGACCTTTTCAAGAAACAAATCAGCAAATTTTATCAGATTAAAGATCTGGAAAAAGCCAAAATGTTTCTTGGCATAAATATAAATTTTGTCAACAAGAACGAAGTGACTTTGGATCAAAAACATTACATCAATGAAATGCTGAATACCTTCAGATTCACAGAAGAGGCAAAAGGGCTTACAACTGTCCTGAATCCTGATTACAACATAATGAAAGAGGGCCCATTGTTCGATGAACACATCTTCAGACAAGCAACTGGAACATTTTCGCATTTGGGCAACAATACGAGGCCTGATATTGCTGTCGCAGTAAGTGCTTTATGTCAGAAGAACAACAACCCCACCAGAAAAGACTGGGTTAATGCCAAACATTTAATGAGATATTTGAAGCAAACTCAAGATTTTGTTATCAAATACAAGAAGACTGAAAAACCACTTGAAACCTATGTTGACTCTAATTGGAGTGCATTTAGATCAACAACAGGATATGTGATTCGCCTGGCAGGTGCTCCAATCACCTGGAAACGCCAAAAACAGCAATTGACCGCTCAATGCTTTAATGATGCTGAATACATTGCACCGTGTGAGTGTGCCAAAGCGGTTATTTACCTGAAAGGTTTACTAAGAGAAATTAATTTTCCTGAGTACGCCATTAGTCCGTCCATCATCAAGATAGACAACCAAGGTGCCATTAAAAAAGCTGAAGGTCAGACCAATACTGAAAGGTCTAAATATATTGACAACAAGTACCACTTCATCCAAGAAGAAATTCAACGCCGGAGAGTCAAACTGGAGTATGTCAGGTCTGCTAAAAACCACGCTGACATCTTTACAAAGCTCCTGAGCGGAAAGAAGACTGAGTCTTTTGTGAAGAAAGTAGGTTTTGTTGTTCAAACCAGTAATAAATAATTCATATGATTGTTGACCTTAGCCTAACTTACCAAATATTGTGCCAAACCTTATCATATTGGTTTTGTTAATCAAAATTTGTTTTAGTGTTCTCTTTTTACTAACATAGTTTCTAAGAAATGTTCCTTGTTTTTGTACTAACCAATTTTGATTATATTTCTTATCAAGAAGAGGTGTTATATTATTAATACATTTCTTTGCATTTCATAATACTTAAAGTGCTAGTAAATAAAATCTTGTTTTGTATCGTCTGCTATTTCATTTATGGCAAATTTATACGTTATGTTTAGTTTTCCATATTCGTGTCGCTTGTTATTTGTCAACCTGTCTTTTGTCAACCTGTCGTTGTGAGTGAGTCAGTCGAAGACGATGCTCGAATAAAGTGCAGTCATGCAGTCAATGCTCGTTTTATTTGACTCATTATTGATCATCATACCAATTAAAAACAATATGAGTGACACTGTCTCCTCCCGCCACGAGCATCCTTCTCTCTCGCACAAGGGCAGGCGGGCGGCTAGCTGAGGTGGCGAGGAGAGGAAGTCGAGCACGCTGGACGGTCTGTGACAGCGCTTGACAGTTTAGGCGATACTCTTGAAGTCAGAATCCTAGTGCAACCCTGATTTGTATCCTGCGTACCCTTAATTGCTCAATTCAGATGGCTCTCGTTACAGTAAAACCTCCGTAGATGCACAGCAATCGGGACCGAGGTCTCGTAAATATGGAGGTTGTCAAAACGTTTGCCAGATGCTGGTTGACGAGAGCTCGGAGCCTCGCCTGGCCATAAAGTCTATTGTGTGCCGCCACGCCCGAGAGGTGAGCCGCGCCTGCCCGATCGCTACCTGGCCCAACTCCACCAGCCCGACTTCCGACACTGCGCAGCCGCTGCTGGCTGGGCGGCCGGGGATGCCCCTCGGGTGGGGACCGGGCCAGGTAGTGCTCGGGCCCGTGCTCCACTCAGACCACGACCTGTCAATCAAGCCGACTAAGGGGAAAGTCGCGTAAATGTTTCATTTTGCGGAGCATGGGCTGGTCCTTAATATGTGCATCTACGAAGGGTGCATCTACGGAGGTTTTACTGTACCCATATGGATTTTATTACAAATGGAAAAAAAATCCATAGCAAAAATATCCGTAATACAAAATTCCACTCTGAAAATGTTATTATTTCTAGTTTGGAATCTGTTACAAGTTACATCAGGTATAAAATCCAAACGGATAGTAAACAAAATCCAGATGGACATTTTCCATACTGAAAATCCTCATGGAATTTGAAGCTGGGACCTTGCACTAAAAACACGGTTGCCTCACCATCGCTTCTCCAGACACAAGTGACCAGGTGCGGAACGTAGCATGGGCGTTCACAACTCGACCGCACTGGCCCGTTGCGTCCGCGAAGGGAAAGGCGGCGTGCGCTGTCCAGTTGGCGTGGCCGGCCGACACGAGGACCGTTAGGTCCGCAAGGGAGAGTGAGGTCCAGGTGTCCCACAGCAGCGTCCGCACTTCAGCTTCGGTGGCAGACCGCGGCAGGATGCCAAGGAACAGTGCCGAGGAATTCCATTCCGATTCTAGCTGGAAATTGTGCACACGACCGACCGGATCATAACAGAAATATGTAAGCTCATCTTCTCTTTACAGAATCCTGCCTTGGCGGACTCTTAATCATAAGGGACCGTTTAACAAACTAATAGGGTATTTCAATGGAGCGCTGGCCGGAACTAAGAAGAACAAAACCGGATACAGAGAGCGATGGTGGGGACGGGCGCGCGGAGGAGCGGCGGGTGGAGGGGAGCCTCCCCGCCCGCCCTCCGCTCCCCCGCGTGCCCGCTCTCTGTATCCGGTTTTGTTCTTCTTGGTTCCGGCCAGCGCTCCATTGAAATACCTTATTGGCTGAGCGATTAGCGAAGCCTATTACTCCAGTGATGATCAAAAAGTTTCGCGTCTGTCTGTCTGTCCGTTTGTCTGTGCGCACGATAACTCGAGAACAAATTGAGCTAGCGACCTGGGATTTTCAGGGTCGTTTTGTGTCATGAAAAGACAGATCGAGTTCGAAGAAGAGCATTCTAGCTCAAAAATTGGATTTTACAAAAATCAAAAACCACAGGTACCCCAAATAGTGTTTTTTAAAAATATTTTTTTTACAGTCTCCTAAGGGGTAACTCATCAAAGTAGAGCTCTTCGGGCGAAAATTTTCTCCGTTTTGCTCTAGCTGAAACCGTTGAGGCGCTAGAGGGTGTTTTTAGCCCGCCCTTCTGCTTTGAAAAAGCTATTCAGCGGGCTTATGCAAACGACCTCGTGTGTGTCTGTCTGTGTGTCTGTCTGTCTGTCTGTTCCACTAGAAGGAGATGTGCTAGAGACTTGAAATTTTCAGGGGATCTTAAGGTCCACTTCTAGAGAACGAAACGCCTACGGCAAATCCTGGCAACCACCCCTAAAGGGCTATAAGGGGGTATCAAAGAAAATAGGGAAGGTCATAAAAGTTAGAAAAAAATATTTTTTTTATGATGTCCTAAGGGGTAACTCGTCAAAGTAGAGCCCTTTGGGCGAAAATTTTGTCCGTTTTGCTCTATCTCTCACCGTTTGGGCGCTAGAGGGAGTTTCTATCACGAAAGTGGCCCAAAAATAAACGTATTAATTCTAGAAAATATGAGATGGTCTCCTAAGGGGTAACTTGTCAAAGTAGAGCCCTTCGGGCGAAAATTTCGTCCGTTTGGCTCTATCTCTAACCGTTTCGGCGCTAGAGGGTCTTGTTTGGCGAAAATAAGTTAAAAATTGCTGTAGTGAACAATTAAATGTGAAAGAAGGCCCAAAACCACAAAAGAGGTAAGAAACTCCCTCCCCCCACCCCAA